GTTGAGCCAGTTTAAATTAAATATTATCATGTTTTTAGGGCATGAATCTGAATTGAACAACCTGATAATGCTCACTCTGGTTATTGTTTCCGTTTTTAAAAGCGCTATATGTTGAGCCACCTCTTCTAGATTTGCCATGTGACATTTTCAGCAGCAATCATTGGTCGATTTTCTAACGTTGCCATTCGGGGAGTAATGAGGCTTTTTTTTGGTGCCGTGTAAGAGAAATATATATATAGATAGATTTAATGCTGTAATGGTTTTTCATTGTTAAATGTAAAATTAAAAATAAACATGGTTAATAAACATGGTTCAGGAGAATATGTGTCCACTTTTTCTCCTAGATAATTCGACCTTTCAAATTCAGCGTTTACCCATATCTTAAATAAAAATGTTATGCCCCTAAAAATACTGAAGTCTTAAACTTCAGAATAACGACCACTGATTCATTTTCTTTTAACTTTATTTTCAAACGAAGTATATAATACTAAAGTCAAATTTCAGATTGATATTTCTTTTAACAAAAAGTGTCAATTTATCTTTTTGTATCTCATATCACTTGTATTTTCTTATTTTTATCTTTCATGTTTTTGAATATTTGCATTTTTAAAATGTTTATAAAATTTTCTCATTTAGATTGAAGAGTTGGCTTAATTTTTGTTATGAGGAATAATACTTCTTGTTGAATAAATTCATTGTGATTTTCAAACAAATGACTTAGAACTAAAAAAATATGAAGTCATAAAATTTATTAACACGTTGAGCGCCGCGTCAGTCATCGATGTCTGACACTGGACTTTCCATTTAGGCTGCGTCAATCACCGGTGGCTGACACTGAAATTACATTTAAACCGCGTCAACCACCGGTGGCTGACACTGAAATTACATTTAGGCAGCGTCAACCACCGATGGCTGACACTGAAATTGCATTTAGGCTGCGTCTACCACCACTTGCTGACACTGACCTTGCACATAGGCGGTGAAAAACAGTTGGCTGACAGCGCATAACATGGTATCGAACAATAAAATTTACACTCTTTTATACAATTGCAGAAAATTTATACAAAATATACTTAATTATTGTGATTCTTGGTTTAATAAATTCAATTTAATAGATTTTTACCCACCATTATTTTTAAACAATCCGTAAGAATATATAATTCACCACTTTTTACATGCATGTCATGTCAAATCTTTTAAAAACTAGCAAAATCTGTCTATATTTGCAAATTTAGGTTGTAGTTATTTGCAATGTGGCCAGACGAGGAAGCCATGTAAAATTAGCGTGGCATTCAACGTGTTAAAAATGAAACGTGCTGGTAGCGCTACTGCAGATTTTTTTCCTCGAGCACTTTGTGTTACATTTTTAACATTAGTACAAATGTGTATTTTTAATAATTCATATTACTTTTATACATCGTTATTATTACAAATTTTATTCTTTTCATTTTAATTGTGCTTCTTTCACAGGGAAAATTTTGCAAATAGATATCCTGTATCTGCTACATTTGACTCTTTTCGAGAAAGGATTCCCCACGGATAGAGGAATGTCATTTCATTTGAGATTAAAAGCTTCATTAAAATTTAGTAGACATTTAACTTCGTCGAGACGGGCGAGTCGTATACACTCTATAACAAAAAACTCGACGCACCAAGAAGTAATCATCCGATTGCTTTGAAATTTCGTATGCATGAATGTTTTGAACAGATATGGCTGGAATGATGCCGACTGGAGACGTATAGTCTTTAGCGACGAATCGCGCTTCCAACTGTGTCCTGACGATCATCGANTTAGCATTGAAATGAACAAGCGTGATTAAGTTTAGACACATTAAAAAAAATTTATAAATGCTGAAAGTTAGCGATAGAAATTTTTTGCATAGGAATACATGCTAAAATGGCGATCATATACATTAAGCCTGAATCAATGGAACGTCAATTTTAAAATATCAAAACATTAAAAATTGGGCTCCTAGGGCCCGGAAAAGACTCACCAGAGATGCCTTGAGGAGTTATATGATGGTTTTGATGATATTTTTTAGAAGAAGATGGATATTTGTTGCTTTTTTAGTTGGAAAAAAACTCTGTTCAATTAGCACAACAACATGGGTAGTAGCTAGATCAGTCCTCGATCGCATCTGGCTGGAATGTTGATGACCTCGTTCGACAATTGGGTCGAATTTGGCAGGAAATACCGCAAGAGACCATCCGGGAGCTTTATCGGTCTATGCCACGCCGTGTGGCAGCTTGTATCCAGGCTAGAGGCGGATCAACACCTTATTAAACTTGTTACTGTAACTCTGCGAAAAATTATTCTATTGTTCTGAAATTTTAGTCATTTACTATTCTGTACACTGTCTTCCTATCCACCAATTTTCATTTCAATCGGACAAATCTTTCTTGGTGTTTCAATTTTTTTTTTGTTATAGAGTGTATATGCATTCTACAGGGTTACAGCGGTCCTTGAGAAATTTTTATAGTGGTAGTAAATTAATTTCTTATTTTAATATACTACTTTGTCGTTAAGAAGTAAATAGTTCGTTGTAGTGGAACTGGGCCACTTGCGGCCCTTTTCCCTTTCATCCTGAAATTAGACTAAGAAACATACATGTCTAAAATAAAGTTTGGGGCACAAAATGGAGTTAAGAAGTAAATAGTTGGAATTTTCATGCATATATACTTTCTTTGGAAAACAATTTTTAGTGGTGATTACACAGAATTTAAATTCTCAACATCTCTTTTATTTTCCTTACCACTTTTTAAAATTGACAAAGCTTGCGGGAACCCTGCTCTAAGCGTGGTAACAATCAGGGTAAAAAAAAAACTGGTAGGCAAAATATTTCTACAGCTGTTTATTTGGGATGAGGAGCAGAGATGCCAACTGTTCCGGACACGCCAAAATAATTAAAAAAACGGTAAATAACTGCAAACTAAATTTTTCAAATGTTTGACTATTTTTGTATCCTTCTTAAATGGCATAGCATGACACAACTACTATAAAGTGGTGAATTATATAACACTATGAATTATTTAGAAATAGTGGTGGATAGAAATCTACTAATTTTAATTTATTAAACCAAGAATCACAATTGATAAACTACCACTTTAAAATATTTATTTGCTGTCCGGAACAAGTTGGCATCTCTGGAGGAGTAATAATAGTTTGATTTCCTTAATATATCACGAATTAATTCAAAATAAAAATTATGTAGCTACACTTTGAGCTAACATTTATTAGGTATGTTAGAAAGAAAGTGATAGCAAAAATAAAGACATGCCCAAAATTAAGCTACCGCTTTTTATTTTGCTCCATCCTGACTCTGATTCCGTACGTATACATATATGACTCGCCAGTTCAGAAAAGGTTTAGTAGATGACTCTATAATATGTTCTTTTATATGCAGTAATTCAATAGAACATCTAAAATGTAGTTCCTCAGGATGTGCTTCATTAATAAGTTATTTGACATTTCACCATTGTATTTTGAAAACCACATTAACTTTAGTTACATATTTTTCTCTGAAAATAAATATCATTTCTTGAACTAATTATTCTAGTCTTTTATTCTACATTTCTCATTGTCATAATATTACATATTTACAATCGTATTTACATAATATTTCTTACAGATTTGTTTATTTGCATCAAAGTTCATCATCTCTATTTGATGTCTTGAAATATCGTCCACTTTCCAGGATCTTCATACTCGTAAGCTATTTTAATTCCTGATTATAACTAGTATATTCTTCTCGGAATCTGTTCGTAAAAAGAAATGATTTTTTAAAAAAATTACGAATCGTAATTGTATCAGCAAATTACAAAATTATTTTTAAAAGAAAATAAATTATTCTGACATTTTTTTAAAATTAGAAGCAGCATCAAATTTGTAGGTTTTTTTTAAACTAATACTTTATTTTATGCATACCATGGTACACTGTATGAATTATTTACACATTTTTTGCAAGCTAAAGTAATTTCAAATCAATTTCGTAGGTAAGTATAATTCTTATTAAATAAGAGAATACAGAGTAGTGTATAGAGAATATAGAGTATTTATGTATTTGATAGAATACAAATATTTCATTAAGAAACACTACAAAATTAAATAAGCTGAATTTCTCTAACATTGAACGAGAAAAGACTTTATACATATCATGGTGCACTATATGAGTTATTTACACATTTTCTTGTAGCTAAAGTAGTTTAAGATCAATTTTTGAAGTAAGAGTAATTCTTATTAAATCAAAGAAAATTATGTATTGTACTTATATATTAACAAGAAACACTACTAAATTAAGTAAGCTGAATTTTTTTTAATCTTCGTAACCTGGAAAATACTTTATTTAATGCATATCATGGTGCACTGTATGAATTATTAACGCATTTTTTTGTAGCTAAAATAATTTTAAATTATAAACCAAAGAATAGAATTTATTGTATTTATGTACACTGAAGAGACATTACAATATGACCACCCTCCATCTATAACAATGGGCTCGCCCAGATTTTCATGGTTTCTCGCCCAGGAACAATGTTTTCATGGGGCACATTGGGACCCATAATCCTCATAGAACAATCCCTGACGTCTATAAGCTTCTTGAACATAGTGGCAGACCAGGTTCACCCATTCATGGCAGCAGTTTTTCCTGCGGGGGATGGTGTTTACCAACAGGATAATGCACCATGTCATAAGGGTCGAATCGTCATGGATTGGCTCGAGGAATATTCCACTGACTTTCAAGTCATGTCTTGGCCCCCAAATTCATCTGACCTTAATCCAATAGAGCATTTGTGGTACTACTTGGAAAACCAAATTCGTGCTGCCACGCTACCCCCTCGCAATGTGAGGGAATTGCAGGACCAGTTGGTGAGCGCTTGGTACCAGATACCTCAGACTACCTATCAGC